TTTTTTTTTCTTTTAGAGCCTTCAGTTAATATCTTTCTGTTGCTGTTTATCTTTGAACAATCGATATGTTTGCGACTGTTATGTGTGTGTACTCAGGATTTACTATTGTTTCCCAAATGGCATCCCAGCTTTCTGCTTTCTTCTTTCCTTGGCAATTTTTTTTGGTTTTATCCACCATCTTATATCCTTGAAATTTCATTCTTACTTGCTGCAATTCTTCTCTTTTTCTTCTGCTTTTATTTCAATGCGGAAATTCTGTAAACATTTGCAATTGGTAGAAAAGTGGAAGGTGGCAATTTGAGGCAGAGAGGTATCATCTATCTATCCATCTATCTTTTTCCATCTTTCTTTATTGAAGCGCAATTGTTTTTTGTTTATGTCGGCCTAATCGATTATACCAATTCTGTACGTATTTGTCGCTATGCGTTGGCTTAAACCAAAAAAAAAAATCGAATTGTCTATCCTGCTGCCTCTTCTTATAATAGTTGAGGAAGTTTTTATGCCATTTTCCTCCAAAAAAAGGAAAAAGGTTTTTTTTTTTTTTTACAATACCATACGGTTGGTGTTTTAGTTAGAAAGTTTAAAAGCAACCATTTAAACCAATAAATCTGTTATTTTTCCTAATTTCTCCTCCTTTTTTGCTCTGCAATGTAATTTTTATTTGAGGCCATGAAAACTATAAAAAAGGTTTTGTTTAACAGTGTTGAGATGGTTCCCGTGTAATTGAAATGCTCCAGTTGTTGCCGTCGTTATCGTTGTCGTTGTTATTCACTGAAAACTGTTTGTCAGTAGTATTCGTCTCTTGTTTCTTTCCAATTTTTTTCCTTTTAATTCCACAAAGTTACGACACTAAACAGATGTTTCCTTTCACTGTTTTTTTATACATCAAAATTTTCGGATTACTCACAAAAATTACTCGTTTATTCATTCGAAAAACAACAAGGTAAAAACTGTCCACCGTTTTCAAAGTTTATAGTCTTATTTTTTTTAAAATAACATATCAAATTTGTCGGTAATTCAACTCATTCTGAACAGTTAAATCTGCCTCAACTCCTATTTTAGAATTGGTTTTTTCACATTCTTTTTTATTACTGCTTTGATTTGTTTGGTATTTTTTGGGACCACAAATTAGTTAACTTTATTTTCTGGAATTACCGATTTTTATTTTACATTTGCTTTATTGGCTGTAGAAAAAAAAAAAGGAAAAGAAGTTACAGATAATTAAAGAAGTCGTAATATTTCTTTTGTTGTCTCTGTGTTAGAAGTTGAGTAATTGAACGACATTTGCATCAGCAATTCGTTTTTTTTTTCTTTCATTATTGGTAAGAAGAAAGTTTTTCTGCTTATAATTTATATTGAAAATGAATCCTGTTCATATAAAACTTTTATTTTGTTTCAATTTTGTCAGACCCAATGTTGACGCTTTAATGGAACTAAGGTAAGCATAACTTTTGTTTTTACCGTTTTTTGTATCTATCAACATTAATAATTGGATTGGAAGTGCCCAAATAACGTACATCATTAAAAAAAAAAGTTTTGGCTATAAGCTGCCTAAGAAAGTCTAATGAAAGTTTTTGTTGGAATTCTATGATTGGAATTGTTTCCACATGTTGTTTAAGAAACGATTTTGTTTTTGTTGATAAACTGGCCAGTTATCGGTATAGCTATAGAATATTTGGTTCACAGTTCAGTGTTCACTGTTTTGTATGCCAACTATACCGCCTGTTATCTTTTGGTGTTACGTCAGCTGTTATGTTGTTAGGGCTTTTTTCATCTTTTTTTTTATTGTTATTTTTTATTTTTCTTTTTTTAGAGATGGGAATGCTTTTTGTAGGAAGTAAATTTTTTTTGTTCAAAATAACTGTTTCTAATTGATTATTGGTGGTTTCAAAATTTTTAAGAAAGAATAAGAAAAAATCAGGATGGAATATCAGTTTGGACTCGTTAAACAAACTTTTTTTTTCCACTGAAGAAGGAGGGCAATGAGGCAGTAAAGGGAAAGAATGGAATATAAGGGACTTTGATTTTTTGAAATTTCAATGCGAACTGTTGGGAAAACTGAGTTTTGCATCTGTTTTAGTGTTTCCACTTGTTTGTATTTTCTTAATTGCAGTTGGAGATATGAGTGTAACTTCAGCAACAGTATTTACAAACGTTTTGGGACTGTCAAATTTAGAATAATTTATTACCGGAAAAGAAAGTTTTTTATTTTAGGTTCTATTGGTGAAAAGAGAATTGCATTTGAGGTGATCTTTGTCAAGGACTTCCAGCTGATATATCAAGGATTTAACTGCATGGTTTTATGCTGAAAATCCGCTTGCTATCACTAAAAGCACATTGAAAATGGCTGGCGCGGTGATTGAAAATCTGAGCAATCAGAAACTGACATACATTCTTTCATCCTTATTTGTCTTGCTTATTGGTTTCTTCCTCTTAGGTGCCTTATGCGGTATGGATTGCTTTTTCAGAGGATTTAAATTTAGTTTTAATGTCGTTTTTATACGTTCAGGATTTCCAGGAAGTTGTTTCAAATGTTTTACATTGGTCGGCTTATTTTTAAGAACTCTGACATGTTCTTGCCATACTGTGTCAAAAGTTAGCCCTAGATTCTGACGATTGACTGAGTATGCGACAAACAAAGATTGTGGAGGAAAAAATCTGATTTTCAAAATCAACATTTCTAAAATTATGCTCTCCCAATTTACACATAAGGAGCAGTATAAAAATTTTCTGAAAACTGATTAATACTGCTGTAAATGATACGGCACTGTAACGTT